GGATGGCTCTTAATATGTCTAAAACGTGCAAACTCTAAGGATATAGATACGGCTAGCAGCCTTCGATAGCAGGGTGTCGACTTGTAAATACCAACAGCAAGGGTCGTCCTGAAAAGCCATTCCGAGAAGTTTCAACCAGTTTTTGCGCTCAATACCATCCATGAGTTGGAGCGGTAATAATGGCTTCGTTGTTCTACCACGAACAACCATTTCCCATGCAGATCCTATGGTTATACAAAGGAAAACCTAAACCTATTGTTTGCGGAAACCCTTAATTCTATCGTTATATATTCCACTACGAAATTGAAGTTTGGGGATCTGCTCTACAGAATAAATATCTACAACGAATTGACAAATTAATTCCTCCGAAGAGCTCATCGATTTGGATATACCATGAAAGAGTATAAAATATCGCAACTAGTTGAGGAGAAAGACAAATCATTATTTGCAAAAATTGTGAAAGATCCGGATCATGTTTTGTATAACCTACTCCCAGAAAGGAGATCCAGAACTTTAAGAGAAAGAAAACACTCATTTATCCTACCTATGATCAAAACTGAACGTTTTAAACGCTCATTTTTAAATAGATGCTTATTTGACTATTTTAATTAGCTATTTTAACTTTATTAATCACTATAAAAATAATTCAACTTTAATTCTACTTTTAATCACTGTAATTATTATTCAACTCAATTGGAATTGTAAAGGCACACGTTTGTAAATTGTGCCTCCTTCCTCACCAATGAAAGACACTGAATCGGTTTGCAAATGACTTGATACTCATTCTTTGGGATTGTCTTTCAGTACCATTGTCTTTCTCTCTTTGATCATTGATGAGTTAAATGCTTTGTATACATGAAACAGTTTTTCTCCTTCAATGGACAATGATCATTATAAACAATGATCTATGAGTGCATCGCCGACCATCAGCGACATACGAAATCTGCATGCTTAAGTGCAGACACACCGGACACAATTCGACAACGCGATGCGATTTTTTAGTTTTTGAAAGTAACTAAAACAGCCAATGAGAGCAAATATTAGAAGATATGTAGACCAAATAACTCAAAATGTTATAACATATTTGGAAAGTTTAAACTAGGATCAAAGTTATCCGGCGGTCAGTGAAAATGCTCCAAAATCGCGTCGCGTTGTCGAATCGCGAAAAGACAATATTTTCAAAGGTTGACAATATTATCATAGGTCTAGCTAGATGCGCTGAAGTTAGGGTTGAGAATTTATGCTGTTGCAGAAATATAAAAGCATTTTTATCCTTGTTGTAGAACTTCTATTTTGTACCGTCACATTTATATTGTCCATAGGCATAGTTATATTTGACGTGCAACTGAACATGTATACTAAACAGTCAATATTATTGCCCGGGGGTGGGGATATAGACCCAATTTTTTTGCCCAGGGTGGGGCTTTAGCATAGTTCTTCTTTCCCTGGGGTGGGGAGATAGCCATTTTCTTTCCAGAAATGGCTAATTCCCCCGGGGGGATGGGCACCGCTGGAATTGACTGATACATAAAGGTTTTAATCATGTGCTTTCACAGTCAGGATAGCATTGTTTACACACAGTTGGCGATGTTTGGGAAATCAAAGGATCCCGTTATAAAATAAATCTTTTGTCTTGAATATCGGAAAGGATACACTTCAACTATAAACAACCATATCGCCGTTTGTTTGATCGATCAGTCGGTGTAGACTGAGATATGTACGTTTCTACGGCGAAACCTGCTCAACATTGCAAGCCATGCAGTCGTGGAGTCCTTTCCTTGCAAGTGAAATATGATTCAGCTTCTCGCGTGAAATGTACCGCAACACCCATTATTGATGACATTCAGTATCAGGAAGTCGTGTCATGATGAATACGAATTTAGAACAGTTCCTTTCACGATTTCTTGTTGCAAATTACATTTTTATCACACGAAACTATAACACATAAAATTGCAATTCAGTTCCAAACGCAACAAACAGACTCCTCTACTACACCTCCCTGAGATCAAAATCTGCGGAGTCACGTGACCAGCTCCGACCATAAAGTCTCCTCTAATATAAATCGACTAGTGCATGGGATAACTCGTAATTCAATTAGGCCATCTATTTGAAACACGTCGTCTATTTGATGTATAATCATAGTAACAATTGCACGGTGGGACAATGCGGCCGGGCCAAGTGCGGATTAACAATGTTTGGTGCAAATGCATTATAACAGGGCCTCTTTTAACATACTTAACAATAACATATAGACTGGGGGGGACATGCCCCCTCCCAGCCTAGCTTCTTACTGGCCACTCCAGTCGGCACTGATTTTGTCCTCCCCAGTGAGGTCCCTAAGAACTACCTGCAGTACGTGGTCAACCAGCAATTATGATTTGAAAGTGAGAAAATGATGTTAAGTTGTTAACATTTCTGAATTTAGTTAAATCTATCTCAATCTAGTTAAAGTAGACTGATTACGGAAGCCGTGAAAGGACTTCAGTCTTCAGACTTCAGACTTCAAACATTGGTTCCGAGTTTCGCTAATAGCCAACATTGCTTTTGCGAAGCTGGCTAATATTTAAGGCACTTATTCAGTCAAAGCTATTCAAACTAAAGTCAAAAATGGTCAGAATGATTTAGACTGTAAATGCAGACTGTTGGAATGTGTCAGTGAGTTCTTTGTAGGTTTGCAGGACGATAAAACATATAATACTACTGTGTGGAAACACCACGTAAATTTATTACTGCAGTAAATTCATTAACTTTATTCTGTAAATTAATTAAATTTATCATGTAAATTTATTACTTTAAATTTATTATTATTATTATTATTATTATTATTTATTACATTTATTTATTATTTTTTATTAGTATGAAATTCATTAATTTTTTATCGATTCCCAGCAAGCCTTTTGCGCTCGTACCGTAAACCTCCGACTATAAGCCCCCCCCCCGAATATAAGCCCGAATATAAGCCCACCACATATACTAATGCTCACCTCAGGGTTTATTTTAAGAAAAATTTAGAAATGCACATATTAGGGATGTTACGAAGCATCACGGGTTTGACTGGGGAGTCAAAGGGTTTTTGATTGGGGGGTCAAAGGATTTTTATCTATATTAACGTTGTAAATTTATAGTTAACGTTGTAAATTATGATAGACTCTTAATTTGTATATAGGTGGCAGAATAAAGGTATGGTTGGGGGAGCTACAGGTAGGGGCCTGGGTGTCCCCCAAATTTTGAATTTAGAGGCTCGTAAGTTCTGGCAAAGGCTTGTTTCACCCAACCACCCACAAAAACTGTTTCAAAACATGTAACTGGGAATCATGAATACTCAATATATAATAAACTTAGGCAGCAAAGAATATATTAGGTTCTCCCACTCTAATCTCTTTTGGATAGCTTCGCTCGCCCCAATTTTATATCCTGTTTCATTACTCCAGCTGGCCCAGCACGTATGTGATTTGCTGGAGGAAAATATGAGGGTCTGGTGGTCCTCTCCCAGAAAACATTTAGATTTTTGATGCTCAATGACAGCATTTCTGGCATTTGGAGCAACCACAAGGAAAACGAGTAAATGAGAAGACTGTTTTGAAGTTATATTTTCGTTAATTTGGTGACTGCACATTTGAGTTTTAAGAACTGCACAAATGGATTTAGAACTGCACATTTTGTGTAGAACTGCACGTTAAAATAAACCATGGCTCACCTCATCAGTCCAAATTTAAGCCCCCCCCCGAATATAAGCCCACCCGAATATAAGCCCCCCAAATATAAGTCCACCGAATATAAGCCCAGTAGCCCACTACCTTATTCAACATTGACATTGTCTTTTAATATAGCAGAGAACGATATTTAAAAACATTGTCATTGTCTTTATAGACGACTATGTGAATCAAAGCGTGTTAGTAATACATGTTTATTTTCCTGTTTATGACTGACTTGTTTATGTCTGACTTGTTTATTAGTAACACAAAAGATCGTCCATGTATTAGCCCCCCGTTTATAGCCCCCTGCCTTGTATAAGCCATCAAAAATCGCTTACGAAAGTATATAAGCCCAGGGCTTATAATCGGAGGTTTACGGTATTCGACTTTTCCGCTTTGGCGCTTTGCTTGGGGACAACCTTAATTGAAATAGCTTAGCTGTATATAACATCATATTCCACCAGTCTCCATTTTAGTTCGAATAGCTTTGACTGAATAAGTGCCTGAAATATTAGCATATTAGCCAGCTTCGCAAAAGCAATGTTGGCTATTAGCGAAGCTAGGAACCAATGTTTGAAGTCTGAAGTCCAAAGTCTGAAGTCTGAAGTCCAAAGTCTGAAGTCGGAAGTCTGAAGTCCGATGTCTGATGCGCAGAATAAAAAACCATACAGAAGGGCCACTTACGTCGGAAGCTTTGAAGCTTCTGTCCTCGCGCATGTCGCATTACGCATGTTGGCCGACACGTTGCACCGCTGAGTGACCATTCTGTTACTGATCTTTATTCTCAGTGTCTGAAGTCCGAAGTCTGAGGTCCGAAGTCTGAGGTCCGAAGTCCGAAGTCTGAAGTCCGAAGTCCCTTCACGGCTTCCGTAGATAATAGAGCACATGCAGACAGAGAAAATGAATAACCAGGGTTGATTATATGCTGGAAGAATTTCATCACGAAATGATGGAAAGAATTACCGCCAAGATAAGCGTTGTGGAAGAACTTTCAGAAAGTATATCGACGAAGAATTTATCTTCGAACAAATTTATTAAAATGCAATGTTATAGAGAAGCTTGAGGAAGATATATTAACAAGACGATTTTACGGTAACGGTAGCATATTAATTTTACTAAATTTACATTTTGTGTGGGAGTTTGGTATAATAATATCAGTGATTTTTTGCCAACTCTCCACCCTAGATTTATATATTTTTAGAAACTACGTAAATTACATGATGAACTTATATCTTTCATTATTTGTTTTCCATTAATCTACACCTCCATTATCATGCATTAGCTGTTCAGATGACCTCTTATTGACTATCTCTCATTCTCATCTATTTCAAGAGGAACTAAGCACGGTCGTTCCTATAAAACGATCAAATTACACAACGTTACACTATGGTTGTGCATAAAAAATGAACCGGAAATGTGGAAAACGGGCTTTACTTAAGTTGTCGAAGTCTTACTGCTGTTATTGGCAAGCAAGTTAATCTTGGCTTGGAAATAACTCAAATAAGTATGAATGATACAAATTATTTAATATCTTCACAACATTTAGTGCTGATATTAATTTGCGTCATTGAGACTTATTTCCGAGACAAACTGAACTGAACATCGGCCATCATCATACATATGTCCAACCAAAACTCAAAGTCATCGGACATTTTGTCAGACGGCCCTGTAAAAGATATTTTAAGGCTTGACGGCGAAACATCTGTGCATGCTTTTCGCAAGCCTTTAACGTACTTTATTTATGAAATACATAATTATCTTACTACTTTATCGGATAAAATTTTGATGAACGTTTGTCCAACCACTTTAAATCCCGGTCTTTGGCAAGGATCAGCGTTCCAGCAAGTCATCATTAAGTCATATCTAGTAACAGGAATAATTTATATCAGATATTAGTAATCATTTAAATGTAATAATTTCAGTATATCAGACATTGAACTGAATTACTCTTAAGCCTGGTTCACATATATGCCTGCGACGTGCCTGCGACGTACCGGCGACGATGCCGGTGGTAGCTTAAAACGTGAATTATGTGAATATTTCTTCGCCGATTGCCTCCAGTGCCTCAGTTACATCGGCGGTAGGCCGGGAAAGTTGACTTGGGTTCAACTTTCCTGGTATTTCGGCGGCAAGTTGAGGCATAATGATACAGTCGCAGGCATGCCGCAGGCATATGTGAACCAGGCTTTATTCCAGCGATTTGAAATTAATTCTGAATATGAATTATGCGGCGCCATTACGCACAGTTTTGAATCAAACACGAAAGCCCAAAATCCTGATATTCATCCATACACCTTACATTGGCATCACCTTATAATTAGTTTAATACATAAAAATGCAGTTATAGAGCTCAGCAAATTAGAGCGCGGCACCGGAATCGCAGGGTCGATTCCTGTCAGAGGGCCTATCTACATACAGTATACAGTAGTTGCATTTTTTCCAACTGCTCCTGGTTAGGTTTAATAAATGTAATAAAATTCACACTCGAAATTTCTATCTATAAAACCCTTCAACAATTAGTTATATCGAGTGAGATGCCCAAAATCCTGATAATTATCCATTATGTTATTCTATGGGCGCTTTCCATTTAATGGTCTGACCGGTCAGACCCAAATTCTTTTCTCTGTATCAATACAATGATCTGGTCTATGTTTCTCAAATACCTAGCGAAAATGGACCTCATTCTAATTGTATCTAAATCAGATAAGCTAGTCCGAAGCCCAAACGTTTTGTGTTTCATGCAACAATTTGACCCGGTTCTGACCGGTCTGGCCGTGTTAATGGAAAGCGTCCTATGACACTGTTATGCAAGCAAAGCCGTCGGAAGCGGAGGCCGCCACCCACCCCCAATAATTTCCTCACTCATGAGGATTCTGTTTCTTTTCATACTTTATTTCTCTCTTGCACAGGCAATTACAACCAACTTATCCGTAACAGTTCGTTGCTACATTGATATTGTGTATATATCAATAGGAACAATTAAAACTAATTCATTCATGCTTGACTGCTTGTGATTGCATACGGAGCAAACGATGTTTCAAAATTGGAGGGATGAAGTTGTAAAAAGTTATATATAAAATAAATTATAACAAAATTTTGAATTTTTAAATGAAAGAAATTCATAACGTTGATAAACATTCCTCTCAGGAAACACGGAAAATGCTCTTCCAAGGCTTCGGAAGCATCCCCCCCCCCGACCTCCCAATAGCAATTCGCTTCTGACGGCACTGTGCAATATGGAATAAAGGAATACCGAATGGTTTTCCGTGCAGGATTGTGTGATCCATGCACGAGGGATGTCGCGAGACTTTCGGAAAGCGTAAAAATACTCGAGCCGCAGGCGAGTGTATTTTTACGCTTTCGGAAAGTCGAGCAACATCCCAAGTGCATGGATCACGCTATCCTGCTTGGAAAACCATTTGGTAATTGTTTTATAAAATAACTACAGTGAAACAATGACATTTTGAGAATCCCGCGAAAATCCCGCGAAGGCATTTTAATTCCTCGTGCAGGATAGCCTGATCCTGCACGGCTATTGACCAATCAAATTGCGTGTTTCACTGTAACAAGAATTACCCAGTGCACATACATTTCATTTGGACAATATAGTGGAGATTTCATTCTGTTTCCACTGCACAAATATTCATAAACGTCAACTGAATGTATCCCTGGATAAGGTGAACCTCCTGTACAATAGGAAACAATGTTGGTCATCTATTATTTTTGATTTTACATACAGTTTCTGTAAAATGTTATAAATAGCGATTAGAGGACCGCGTGCAATATCTCACGGTGCACGTGTACACACAGCTAGACTGCAATTGCCGTTTAGTTTTAATATTTAGTTTTTATGTCTTCTGACCACTTTTTGCATATCCAAATAAAATTGAACTTCGGCAATATCAGTGTAAAACATGAATGAATGACTGGAAAGTTGTAACTTGTAATAGCTTAATAGACCTTATGCATAATGACGTCACAAGGCTTGATGCCCGCAAGGAATGCTGGTCTTAGTAGTCATCGCCTGGGAAAATTTCGATAGTAGCCATTTTGAATTGTTTAACTTTCCCGGGCGATGACTACTAACACCAGCATTCCTCGCGGGCATCATGCCTTGTGACGTCATTATGCATAAGGTCTATTACTGACAAAAAATATACATTTTTTTAATTAAAGATGATGTCCACTCCGTTCTGCGCATCAGTTCTGCTCATAACAAAGGGGGACCCCCAGATATAAACATTGCCCAAATTTTGCATCTTTCGAACTTTTTTGAATTGAAACGTACAGTTTATATTCATTTACTAGTATAACGAACCAGAAAAGTGTTAGATATTCAGTTAGTAAATCATATTTTACAAATATAGCAGTTCAAAACGTAAACAAAGTTCGCCGCATTAACATGCATAGGAGTGAACATCATCTTTAACATGTTATGATTCAACTGCAATTTTGTACTGTTGGGCCTCTAAGGGCTTGATTCCCAGCATTTTCAGACATGACGTTTTGATATACAGTATATGTATATATTGTATGGATATAGAGGTTTGGTCATTCGAATATTAAAACATTGTTATTCATTTTGTTTGCCATGCGAAAAAGAACTTACTGGGGGAGGGAAGTAACATTGTACTTACCAAGAGTAAATATTTCCCAAAGCAATACACCAAATGACCATCTGAAAATTGTAAAACAATATTTCAAAATTAAATTTTAAGAGTTGGTTAATATCTGCGAAATTATTGCACTTATTGCTATGATTTGGGGATATCACGATAACTTGAGACAGTTATTTTAATCCAAAAGTGACGTAAAAAAGATTTTAACTCCAGTTTTGGAGCAAATTTTACTCCATTCTTGGTGTTATTTAGTAAAATTTACTGCGAAGAGAAATTAAATTTTACAATGATGCATGCATGCACTCATGTACGCTTATTTTTTGCAATAATAGGCTGTAGCATATGTTACTTACACGTCAGATTTTTCAGAAAATATACGATCTCGTAACGCTTCGATTGACATCCATTTCACTGGCACCAATCCCTTAAAACGACGAGTGACATAATGTTATTAAAAATTTAATTGTTCAGTAAGGCAAACTAGGAAATAGTATTTCGAAAGCATTTTCTCTATATTTTGGCTCGGCTCTAGCGCATCGTTGCGGATACAACATTTTCTTTTTGATTATGTAAAAACCTTCCATCCTTCCCCAGCATTTACTATTTATCAGTCTTTGACCTGTATGTTTGGAAATTCCAGATCTAGTCACTAAATACGACAAGTGACATAATGTCATTAAAAATTTAATTATTTAGTAGCTAAGGAGTAAAGTAATTAAACTAGGAAATAGTATTTCGAAAGCATTTTCTCTATATTTTGGCTCGGCTCAAGCGCATCGTTGCGGATAAATATTTTCTTTTTTTGATTATGTAAAAACCTTCCATTCTCCCACAGCATTTATTATTTATCAGTCTTTGACCTGTATGTCTGGAAATTCCAGATAGTATATATAAGTATAGTGTAATTGCGCCATTTACTATCAATCAATCAGTCAATCAATTTTTAATCAGGAAGGCTACGTCATATAATGCTTCTGACAAATGACTTCTGGTTCGCCCTCAGTTAGAATGATGGCCTTGAGACAAGGTTTGCGTAACTATATTTCCTACTTTGCCCCGTGTTTAAATAATAGTGGTGTTCAAATATATATACATATTTCTTTTTTTCAATATATCTAAACTGAAATTATACGTCTTGAGAGAACCATTGCCTGCAATGCCTGCTCATTGACAATTACTAAATCGCGATGACAAGTTTCATTCCGCAATCATTAAAGAAGACGAATATTTTGGGAAATAAACAGGCTACTTGATAGAACATATGTAAAGTATAATAATCTAGGTATAACATACCGACTTTTTCTTAAGGTAGATATCATTCTTGTAAAAGTTACGAGCGAGACCAATTTCAGCAATTTTTGGAACAAAATTCTGACCAATCAAAATATTCCTTGCTGCTAAATCACGATGAATGCACTGAGAATATAACAATAAACAATTCAGTCATATTTAACAGGGTGTCACCGGGGTACTAAAGGCCCGTGTACACTTGCAATTTTCGCTGTGATTTTAGTTGCGATTTACTTCTTCTGATGGATGTGAATGAGTGGATGAGTTATGAATACTGAGATGAGAGTACACATACTTAGATCAATCATAACTCATCTACTCGTTCACATGCATCAGAAGAAACTCGCACTAGAAATTGCAGTGAAGTGATTTCTGGTACAGACCTGGATGAAAGTGGGAATCCTGAGGAACATGTGCCTTATAGAAAGAAGATTGAAGAACATTTTCAATTTTTCATACATAGGCCTACGTCATGGGAGAATCTTAAAAAATCATTATATCATACTTCCTTATCTGTCATTTGAGATCGAGAAGTGTTGTCGCGTTCAACGTTTAAATTTGGCGAAATACCGTCAAATTTTCAACTGTTTTTACGCACGTTTGAGGAACATTTGAAAAAAGAAAATTAGGATCCGAGGAATATTAAACACTTTTTACAGGTCTGTCCTGGTATTTCGGGCTATGGGCTACTCTTGGCCTTTTTATAGAGAGGCACACCCCTCCCAACATTGTTAATGAAGAGAAATATATTTAAAGCGGCAGCCAAGTTCGTTTTGCGAATGTGTAGACATGGACGTAGTTTCTTTACATATTTTGGTTGAAACATATTGAAATAAGGCAAGTAATGCGAAGTGAAACGCGTACGGCCGGTCCGGATCCAATGTAGGTGACTTCTTTTTGTTTGACTTAGAATTTTTCTTAAAGTTTTTTAAAACACTTGACCTATTGTTTGAACTTTGGAATAAAATATATAAACAAAAGTACAAAAAACGCGCGTCGGCGCGTGACCCATCGAATGTAAACTACCTTCCTAGAAGCCAAGAACTCCATTCCGTCTGCGATTTGTGAAGCAGCCTCCACGAGATCAGTGATACTCAGTTTACTATCATGATCTGAAGTTAACTGCAGCCAATCAGGCTCATAGATGTCTTGTCTGTTTCTCAGGAATTCGGACATATTACCATAAGGACAATATTCCATGATTATCCACGTTTTACTGCGATGTCCTAAATTAATACATTTTATTAAAATACATTTTATTATTATTTATTTAGAACCATGGTTATTCATTGCTGTTTCAGATTCTTTCAGTATTTTTTTCAGCGGCTTATATAATTAGTCATTCTTGTGTTTCCGAATCCATTTGCGGAGTAACCTCTGGAATGTGATTCCTTACTTAACCAGAAAGACACAAACACGAAGCCAATGTCTTTTAATTTGTTCTGCAAACAAACTTAATCGTCGCCACTAGAGAAAACCTCCGGAAGATAATGGAATATGGTCTGACAACAACATCCCTCGGTTTTCACTGGACATTTCACAGTTTTGAATAAACCCTGTATTGTCTGCATTGCACTTTAACACACATATACTGACGATCTTCAAAATAAGCTTACAATATGCACATTATTACTCTTTAAGACTGAACACGAGGCCGAACAAAGTTAGCGCTGCATACACTTCTCGGCAAATGTGCCTGCATCCGCTAAGTGTGTTTGAATTCGTCCAGTTTCATGCATTCAGGGCCTTTTTGAACACTATATAGATTGGGGAGGCGGGGGAGGGGGAGAAAGTTCTCAATATCTGCTGCATAAAAACTAAAAAATACGAAGTTTAATTAAAAATGTCAAACTGTTGTACACATTAATTATTTGAAAAGTATATCGAGTCACTGTAAACAAATTTTTGAAAGAGAAATCTTAGGAACTGCATTCCCAGGTCCCGTACCGGTGGAGAAAAAGTCGCCAGAGAGGCGAAGTTTCGCCAATAAAAATAATAGACAGCACGTTTCTGATTCAACAAACGCCGACCGGAACTCCGGAAGTCAATCGAGACGTTA